TCTCTCTCTCTCTCTCTCTCTCTCTCTCTCTCTCTCTCTCTCTCTCTCTCTCTCTCTCTCTCTCTCTCTTAAAAGGTAGATGAGAGAAGCTGCTGTGCAATTGAGACCCTGTCCATTTTCTAAGGGTGTCACACCTGCATTAAAATGGGGGCAGGGCCTGGATGCCACAGTCACGATAGCCACGTTGGCTTTTCTGATTCCCCCTTGAGGATGCCCGTGGCTTATTGCCTTAAAAAACACAATATTTGATTTCCATTGAAAAGAGCATTCGGTTTACAAACCACACTAAAATGGCAGCGAAGCAGACAATTACCATTAAAACAAAACAACAAAAGTCAAAAGGGGAGAAAAAAAGTCAGATGCTTTCACCCATCCGACATTCAGTTTACGATGGTGTGTTAGTTTATTCTCCTCCTGTTTGTAAGATTTATTTTCTGTTTTTCAGTAAGGCAAGTACATTTCCATTTTGTTTTGGCCTGTCTTGAGGCACAGCTCAAGGCAGGGACTTTTGAAGTCACAGAAGTTTGAATAGAGACATCTCCATTCTCTTTCCTGACCCAGGTGAACACCTCGTTTGTGGAGGTCTTTTGAAGTAGATGCTGCCTTCCTTTCCTTTTTCTTTTTAATTTGCTGGTGGACCTGGTTCCTGATACGTAACATCTTTTATGTTAGGTAGGTTCTGAGATCCAAAGCTCAGGTTTTTAAGTGATTAAGCCATGCTTCAGTTAAAGCTCAAGATATTTTAAACCTTTGGATTTCAGGGGGAAAGGTGTCATCAACAAGTACTTGATTTCTGGGATAGTTGAGGAAGATTCCCAAAGACTTCACTCTGGTCAGATTGTGATCCTTTGTAAAGCACATCCCAATTCTTGTAATCAAGGATTTTGGAAAACTGTCTGGCTGTTCTAGTCTTGTAATGGAACAAAGTCTGCTTAGAGTGGAGCTCCAGGCCTCGTGGCTTCAAGGACGTCCTCAAATCGATTTCTTGGCATTTTTATTGTCTTCTCCTAGGTTCTTCTTTGGACTTCCTCAACTAGCCTGACAGTTTCCTGACAGTCTCTCATCCAAGTATTAACCAGGTGTGGTCCTGCTTAGCTTTTCAGATCATTCAAGGTGATCCAATAAGGGCTGTTACCTAGCAGAGCTCTGGTCTGATAGAGTAGCACCACAACATTGTTCTTTGCCATCATTGTTGCTGTTTTTGAGAAGTATCCAGAGTTGTGTGCCTGAGCTGTCCTTATGCCATGGGCTTTTTAAAAAATTCCTCCCACATTTCCGGAAGCATCCTCACTTGAAAAAAGGTGAGGTGATTGTCCAACCCTCCTGAAAAAAATTCTGAGATTTGGTGAGGAATTTCAGGTAGAATGGAGAACGGCTTTCTCCAAGGTCCAGTAAAGGGATTCCGTGATCAGATTCCATGACTGAATTCCAGTCAGGATTATGAATATCGAACACTAATAGTCCTGCTTGTAAGAATTCAAGAACCTTTGAAATAGCCCTGTTCGAAATCTGCCATTAATTTTTGTGCTCATTTTTCCCAGGCTGACAATTAGTAGGTCGAAGTTAAATTAGCAAAGGAGTTATTTTTTTGAATAATAAATGTTCTATCTGACTTTAATTACTTCATAATTCTCTCTGGGTAGCTTTAAAAATCACAGTGGCTCAGCTCTGCTTTTTCTCGATTATCTTTGGCCTGTTAAGCCCTACCCCAGTGGTGGCGAACCTATGGCACGCATGCCAGAGGCGGCACTCAGAGCCCTCTCTATGGGCACACAGGCCACAACCAGCCGCCCGCTAACTCGCCAAGGTCCCACATGGCCGGATGCATCCCAGCACCTATGCGCTCGCTGGCCTTTGTGTGCAGAGGTCGATGGTGTCAGGCAGCAGCCGCCCCGGCCCCTGCCACACCTTGCCCTGTGACAATGGCACTCCCACCCTGCCTCGCCTCGCCTTGCCTCACCCCACAGGACGAGCCTCCTGCCCACCACCCCACCTGCCAGAGACGCCCTGGATCTCCCCCAACCCTGCTCGGCCCCCACAGGCGTCCCTCCCCACGAGCAACATCGAGGTGATCACGCCCACCTTGGCCACTCCCACCCAATCTGCCATGACCACCACAGCCACGCCCACCCAGTGGGCCACGCCCACCTGGCACCCGTCAATAAATCAGTGGATTTTGGGTTGCAGTTTGGGCACTCGGTCTCTAAAAGATTCGCCATCACTGCCCTACCCAATGATGATAAACCTTTAATCATGAAAAACAGTTTAGTGGGTCTTGATGGCAAGCACTAGTGTGCATATCAATGCTCATGATCTATGTACAAAGAAACACATTTCCTAGGTCTTACTTAGCTATGTCTGACCCTCGTCCACACTCTACCTAGAATTGCATGGTAACCAATATTACATCATATTACCAGGTAGTCATGTGGACTTATCAGTAAAGTTTATTCTAAAGTGGAGTGTAGCACTTCATGTTTTTGGATGAGTGGCAAGTGAAACGTTTTGAATACTCCTAATTGATAATTAATAGGAAAGCCTGGGGAGAACGCTAGTAGGAAAAAGGTGCCAAGTTGAGTTAACCCAGTAACAGTGGAATTGGATCTCCCAAAGCCATTAAGACAGGTCCACCCTATGTTTCACTGCAGTCTGCTTAAGCGGGAGCTAACCTTTCCCTTAAGGCCAGCAGAAGCCTCCCCCCCCCACAGCCCATTAGGGTAGAAGGGGAAGAACATTTTGAAATTAAAGAGAGATTAGTCTCCAGGAAAACATCATGGTTTGACCCAATACTTGGTAGCGTGGAAAGACCTCCCACCATCCCCAAATGAGTGGGTACATAAGAAACATGTCAGAGCCCCTAGATTGCTTAAAAGATAGGGCAACGGAGGCAGGTTCTTATACTCTGTTCTGAAATCCAGAAAAGATGGCAGTATTTTGAATGATAGATGGGACATTGTTTTACTGGACGGGTGAGCCAAGTTTCACCATTTGAAAAGCATCACTCTCACAACTCACATCAGCTGCCCATTTTGACTCAGCCACTGCCCTTCTCTGTCACAGTCGGGCCCAAGATGCTCTGCTATGGGGCATGGAACAGTGACAATGCCCATCTCCAGTTACCAACCTATCCAGTGTCCAGAACTAAGTTGCTTGGTCCAGTTCTATAGTTGCCTTGGCTAAAAATATTCCAATTATGAGACATGACACAATTAATATGCTGCTACCTCTCCTTGAAACCCCAATCTGCAACTAAGTTGTCTGCTAGGGGGACAAGGCTCCACCTCCCGATCTCTGTTGTTGTTGGTTTTTTTGCAAATCTTATGTTCACCAACTTAATCTTCAGTCTTTACCCCATCTACCGGTGTCTATTGCCTCTCATTTCCCGAGGAATGCATGCTGAACTATGCTCTCCAGTTGTGCTCCTGATAACCAGGGCTACGTTTTATCCACACCTCTGCAGGGAACAAGTCACAAGACAGCGGGATTGCCGAGATGGAAGAGCTGCCAGTTCCTCACAACATCAAGATTAGCAACATCACTTGTGATTCTTTCAAGATTTCGTGGGACATGGACTCCAAGTCGAAGGAACGCATCACTCACTATTTCATTGATCTAAATAAGAAAGAGAACAAGAATTCCAACAAATTTAAGCACAAGGTAGGTCTTCCATTCCTGTGGGCATGAAGCACTGAGCAATGCAGGATTCTGATTTCTGTACTCAAATCCTCATAATATCGCTACTCATAGTATTTTAGGAAGGGGGAAATCATTTTAAATTGCTAACATGAAAAGCTTTTTCCCAAAGAAAGAGAACTCAAAGTCCCTCAGACTTAAATTTTTCTAACATCCTTGCAATGGTTTGGTACCTCTGTCTAATCCAGACCATTATATGTTATAATTCATCAGAGACTTAATAGGCATTTGATGTTGTTGTCTTTCCTGCAAAGTTGGGGAAAATTAACGGCGAAGATGTCATATTGGATTTTCCCCTAGGATTTTTACAGTAGTAATCCTTTACACATTTATTACAGAGGAAGTCCCATTACCATTATGGGAGATTAATTCAGGCTTAGATATACTCACGTGATCATTTCCATATAATTTTTGAGATGAACATTTGCATGAAATGTGTTTGAAAGTATGCATTTTTACATGCATTTCTCTTAATGCATACATTGCTGTGTATCCTTCCAATATTTTATGCAAGTTGCTTTCCTAATAGGATGCATTTATGTGTGTATCTAGATGGATTTGGTTCTGCCTCATGAGATGCTGAGACCTGGTTGAGCCAGTACGCAAACTATAGGTGAAACTGAGCTAGTGCTACTGACCAGTGAGAAGAACAGATACATTATTATTTGTGGGATTTGAGATAGCAAGCAGGAGGCCCACATCAATATAACTTTAACTCAAGGCATTAGCTTGGCATGAATTGAGCTGAAGGTCCCAGAAACAGTGGGAGGTTCAATTTTTGTCTGAACCTTCAGCTCAGTTCATGTCAATCTACTGTACTTCTATTGTTGTTGTTAGTTGCGAAGTCGTGTCTGACCCAGCATGACCCCATGGACAACGTTCCTCCAGGCCTTCCTGTCCTCTACCATCTTCTGGAGTCCATTTAAGCTCATGCCTACTGCTTCAGTGACTCCATCCAGCCACCTCGTTCTCTGTCGTCCCCTTCTTCTATTGCCCTCAATCTTTCCCAGCATCATGCTCTTCTCCAGTGAGTCCTTCCTTCTCATTAGGTGGCCAAAGTATTTGAGTTTCAACTTCAGGATCTGGCCTTCTAAAGAGCAGTCAGGGTTGATCTCCTCTAGGACTGACCGGTTTGATCGCCTTGCAGTCCAGGGGACTCGCAGGAGTCTTCTCCAGCACCAGAGTTCAAAGGCCTCCATTCTTTGGCGCTCAGCCTTTCTTATGGTCCAACTTTCACAGCCATACATTGCAACTGGGAAAACCATGGCCTTGACTATACCCACTTTTGTTGGCAGGGTGATGTCTTTGCTTTTTAGTATGCTGTCTAGATTTGCCATAGCTTTCCTCCCCATAACTTCTACAGTATTATGACTCCATAATTAGGTACATGCCACCAAGTCAGCAGTAGTGAACAGCAATACTATGGACAAAGGATGGCCATCAGGAATTGTTTTTAGGAAAGAGCCCAACTGTTTTTGAAACGTTCTTAGACATTATCCACTTCAAATGTCTCAGCAATTCCCATATTTCCAAAAATTAATTATATAAAGAAAGAGAATGGAAGCGCATTTTGAACCATTGTCTTCTTGAGATTATATTGGTTTCTTTCTAAGTAATAATTGCACTGGTAAAATAGCTTCTCCACTGCTATCAAGCTGTTGTTGTTTAAATGGTCAAGTACATCACTCAGTTACTGAATCTTATTCGGGGTGGATAATTTTACATTAATGTTGCATGGCTTTGTGCTTCAGACAGAGGAAAAGATTCTATTTAAAAAGAAAGGCAGTAAATACCAAAATGTCAAGTGTTTGCCCTGTAAAGTGCTTTGAAAAAATAAAATATGCATTTAAAGGATAAATAAACATTTGACAGCTAATAATATATTTTTTAATTCTGACCCTGAAGATGTGAATAGATTAAATCAGTGGTTCTTATAAAAACAACAAAAATTATTTAGCCCAAATAAAGCTGCCTTAACACATCTCCTCCCAAAATTATTAGTCTTCCTTTTTTTCACTCCAATTGTGATAGGAATGTGTTACGTCAACAACAGAGTTCCAGGTGCAAATATGAACCTCCAAAGTCTTGGACTCATGTCAATCTATTCTAGACTTTATGTCAGTCTAGCATCACAAGTCTAAATGTAATTTATTTATACACACAACAATGGGAAGTCATCATTGCTGGTTTTTAGTTGGTGTTGGCCTTCATAAACATCACATTCTTCCCAAGAACCTGGAATGTTGTAATGTATTGGGGTTAGTATATGTGCAGACCTGAGCAGTGTGACCTTTTGCAACTGACAGATGGAAATTGTGTCAATGCACAGGTTTTCTAAGTTTTGTCCAAGGTTTTTTGATATTTTGGTTTCTTGGAGAAGCACTGAGACCATCACAGCTGGTTTTATGCCACAATCTTTCCGCTTTGATTTTCAGTTTCTTAATACTTTGTGATCTTCTCCAATTCATTGTTTACTATCTCCTGATATTGGCCCATCAATTAGACACACTTCCTTCAGTTCAACCACAGTTATATCTGGCGTGTTATGAGCCAAAACGTTTATCGGTTTATATTCAAAAATCCCCCAATATTTTAACTTGTTCATTTGTCAACTACCTTTTCAACTTGTGTGTTCTCACCAACTTATTGTCGTGATCATTTTTACAGATGTTCCAATGAAGCATTTTGGCAACTGTGCCATCATGGGGTTTTCATTATCGTTGTTATTAATGAGGCCACAAAAACATATGCAGATCTCCATTTAAAAGGCACATTGAGAAAGTGCTCTGCTCCTGAGCAGATCAATCTTATGTTTGCTTAGTGACGGTTCAAAATTACAACTGCACTGGAAAAAATGACTTATGACAATTTTTCACACTTACGATCATTGCAGCATCCCAGGGTCACGTGATTTACATTCAGATGCTTGAAAGCTGACTCACATTTATGACAGTTGCAGTGTCCTGGGGTCACGTGATCCCCTTTTGCAGCCTTCCGACAAACAAAAGTCAACGGGGAGACCAGATTGACAACAACCACGTTGCCATTTTAACAACTGCAGTGGTTCACTTAACAAATGTGGCAAGGAAGTCATAAAATGGGGCAAACCTCACTTAACAAATTTCTTACTTAGCCACATAAATACTAAGCTCAGCTGTGGTCCGTAAGTTGAGGACTACCTGTATTCCTTTTGGAGAGAAGAAAGAAAAATCTCCTTTTTTGGGAGGAAATTCCACAGCACTGGGACTATGACAACAGAGTTGTCTCTGGCTGGTAGTGTCATCTTTCGTTCCTGAAAAGATCCGAAGGGCAAGGATAGCTGATCTCTGGGACTAGACCTGCCATCACTGTTTTGAACCGGGCGGGCAAGCAAATGAGCAACTGGTACTACTACTGCTGTTGGCACACCCAAGCATATTCTCACTTCTTCCCCACCCATCAGAAGTGGCAGTTGTACTCGCACTGAAGTGTGATGGAATGTGAGAGATTGTGGGAAGACCAGGATGGGCTAACAGACATAAACAGACAAGAGACAGTTGGTATCTCAGCTCACAAATGGCAACTCCACCCCGGTGGAAAGAAGCATTTCAGATCATCCAGATACTCCACCATAATGAACTCATTGTAAATTAGGACGAAAAAAAATCCTCCTGCAGTTTCCAAGTTTCTTTACTTACTCTAGACTAGCATTAAATTCCTTGGGTGTCCAATCACACTTGACCAATAAAGAATTCTATTCTGTTAAAGATTCCTTTCAGGAATTTGTCTAGTTCTTCCTCCCATGATCACACCTGCCTGGTTCTGGACACAAAGCTAGAAAAATCATTTGCACTTTTCTCCTCTTTTGTTCTTCTGTAGCCCTCAGGGCTCTCCCTGAAAAAGGAGAGACTCTCCTTAATTATTTCTAATGCCAGCTTCCCTGTCCATGAAGGGTCTCCAGTCCAAGTGAGTCGTTCTGCTTCTGATGAACTTTATGAGCTTCGTTAATGGTCTTCTGCTTCTGAAGCATTTACTAGGTCCCAGAATATCTGCCAGCCTTCCCTGCCCTGCTGAAACGGTGGGCTTCAACTCTGAAAACCCCCAGTCAACTTGACCCTTTGTAAGATCCATTTTCCCTTCACAGTTTAGCCTGCAAGTCTGAGCTTTGCTGCCTGAGAATATGTCCTCTTTGATGTCGCAAAGATGCTTTTTCACGAGGCAACTGGACTTTCTTATTTAACAAGGAAGTCCAATTGCCTTGTGAAAAAGCATCTTTGGAATTTTTTATTTTTTTATTATTTATTATTTATTGAATTTATATCCCGCCCTTCTCCTTGCGGACTCAGGGCGGCTGACAATCAATTTAAAAATACATCAAAAACAATTACAAAATTTAAAATTAGTTAAAAAGAAATATTTAAATGTTGTCTAATTAAAATATGATTAAAACCCCTCTAAAAATTCCCCTAGGCCAGTCCCCTAGGCCAGTCATAACTGGATGACTGAGAATCTCCATAGAGTAAACATTCATAGCTTGAATGACATACATAGCTTTGATGACATACATAGCTTGAATATATCTGGGATATAATATATTACACCCACATCATGTTCTTTTTTTCTCCAAGACCATTTCGCTCTCTCTTCCAGCATAATTACCTATTTAGTGAATGTTTCTTATTAGTAGCTACTTATGGTCACTTCTGCCTGGAGAATTGGATATTCAGATCAAAAGGAGTTATATCTATGAATATCTATGAATAAGGGTGATATTTCAGTAATTACATGATAAGGAGGTGCAATCTCAGAGGTTGACCTGCTCTGCTGATGAGGTTACATTTTGCCCTTCCCGGGGAGAGTATGATTCCATCTCGTTTTGCTTCCAACTAGATCAGCAAATATAGTCAAGGCCATGGTTTTCCCAGTTGCAATGTATGGCTGTGAAAGTTGGACCATAAGAAAGGCTGAGCACCAAAGAATTGAGGCCTTTGAACTATGGGTGCTGGAGAAGACTCCTGTGAGTCCCCTGGACTGCAAGGTGATCCAACCGGTCAGTCCTAGAGGAGATCAACCCTGACTGCTCTTTAGAAGGCCAGATCCTGAAGTTGAAACTCAAGTACTTTGGCTACCTAATGAGAAGGAAGGACTCACTGGAGAAGAGCCTGATGCTGAGAAAGATCGAGGGCAATAGAAGAAGGGGATGACAGAGAATGAGGTGGCTGGATGGAGTCACTGAAGCAGTAGGCATGAGCTTAAATGGACTCCAGAAGATGGTAGAGGACATGGGGTCACGATGGGTCAGACACGACTTTGCAACTAACAACAACAAGATCAGCAAAACAAACCAGTAAGGTTCACTGAATCCTGATCTGTATAACATTACAGACAAGCTAGGTTCCCTCATTTGCAGCTGTTTTAATAAATGGCTATTCCTATTTAGTTTAATTACTCTTGTATCTCTCACTTGTCATTTATTTATGCAATATTATTCTAACCAGATAAGAAGAGAAACCCAAAAAGGGTGGCCTTTTTCCTATTATTCCTATTATGATATTATTCCTGTTCATATGTGATACCTCATTAGAGGGGGGAAAGTAAGGGTGGTTGTATATTTTATTAATTGCAGTATTTCCTATATAATATTCTAGTGGTTGTATTGGGTTTTTGCTTCTAGAAATTGCTTTGAGACTGTTTGAGACTGGTGTCAAGGCTCACTTTTCCATTGATATGTTATCCTGTGTTTACCCTGATTTGCCTTAATCTGTTTAGGATTATCAGACTGCTGGCCTGCCATAAATAGCCTCCAAGGAGCTTTCTTTATAACTAGGGTAAATGACATGCTTGAAAGAACTGCCTTACAATATGAATAGCCTTAGAAGTCCGGTTGATTATAAGAAACATCTTGATAATCTCCTTTCGCAGAAGCCCACCAACCAAATAGCAAACTGTAAATGCTTAAGAAATCTTAGTTGGGAGATGAACTCATTGCCCATGAAATGTGGAATTGCTACAATACTTGCAACCATCTTCTGATTCCACCTCTTCAACCTACTTAGACATCTTTCTCAAGAAAAAGGAAAAATATCTGCATGTTTTGTAGCCTTCCAACTACTGTACTATATTTAGGACTACTGTATCTGGGCTGCAATAATTCAAATTGCCATAAGATGGCGAGACATCAGGATTAGATTTTGCAATGTTACCTTGCTGCCATCTAGTGGACTTCTAGATGTTTGCAAATGCCATTCAGTCAATGCAATACCAGCTCTGGCAAATAATTCTGCTTTTCCTAGCTAACCATCATGTTACGTTTGTTAGTGGGACTAATGTAAGAGAAGCATTCAGGAAATACCCATTTCCTTCCTTCCTTCCTTCCTTCCTTCCTTCCTTCCTTCCTTCCTTCCCCCTGAATAATTCTCTTCTATTAGTCAACCAACAAGAGAAAACAACATTTCAAAATCTTTGAATTTTAGTAAGAAACCAACTCACAACCCCCAATCACAGGTATCTGGAGAAAGGCATGATAAATATCACATGCATCATTCTATTATTGTGGAAATAATATGAAGTATATAATTTGACATGAATTATGCAATTTGTATTGTGTGCGTGGTGGTGTCCTAGCACAGGAAGTCACTTGTCCACTCTCTTGTTGTAAGGCAATGAAGCTGGAGCTACTGTATGCATTTTGGAAAAACAGCTGCAGCCAAGCTGAAATGTTTCCCACTCGTACTTCCGGTTTTAAGCAGTAGTGACCGGTCGCGGGCTTGTGGATTCTCCGCAACCCCACGGCTAATTTCACCCTGCCTGGGGACCCTAAATGGGTCTAAGTCTCCCCAGAGAGGTGACAAAGAAAGAAGGGTGCTCCAGTGATTCTGGAATGGTGGCGGCCATTCCGTTCAACTTGGGATGAGAGTGAGAGTGGAGAACACCAAACTGGGAAGACGAGGTTCAACAGTTGGGAGGCTCACTTATCTTCTGATACTCTTTGTATCATCTTAGTTTTTCTTCCCTTTTTCCTGCTCAACTAGGATGTGCCTACAAAACTGGTGGCAAAAGCTGTCCCCTTGCCCATGACTGTCCGTGGCCACTGGTTCCTGAGCCCACGGACCGAATACACTGTTGCTGTGCAGACGGCCTCCAAGCAGGTGGACGGAGACTACACGGTTTCAGAATGGAGTGAGATTATTGAATTCTGTACAGCAGGTGAGTCCTCTGCTTGTGAGAACCAGCCTACGGCCAAGAGGCAGCTTGTCAGAAACCAATATCAGTTAAAAGATGCAGAAATGGCTGGGTGACAGAGTGGCCATTTTGGGACAAGGAACTGAGTACTGAGTCGGTCAGGAGAAACCCCTGGAAGTTGGGTGCTTCAGAGGATTGTGAGGAAGACAGGAAAATAGAAGGGGCACTGGATTGTTGCAAAAGTGAATACAAAAGTAAGTGACCAGGATACAAAAAATGCATTCAGGTGGCCTGCTGATTTGTAGAGAAGGAATGAGGATAGAACCACAAAATGAACAGATGAAAGAAGCAGTAGACCCTATACCAGTGGTGGCGAACCTATGGCACACATGCCAGAGGCGGCACTCAGAGCCCTCTCTGTGGGCACACAGGCCATGCCCTGGAGATGGCAACCATCCCTCTTCAACCAACTGCCCGCTAACTCACTGAGGTCCCATGTGGCCGGATGCATCTCAGCACCCATGTGCTCGCTGGCCTCTGTGTGCAGAGGTCGATGGTGTCAGGCAGCAGCTGCCCCTGCCACACCTTGCCCTGTGACAATGGCATCCCCGCCCTGCCTCGCCTCGCCTTGCCTCACCCCACAGGGCGAGCCTCCTGCCCACCACCCCACCTGCCAGAGACCCCCTGGATCTCCCCCAACCCTGCCCGGCCCCCACAGGCGTTCCTCCCCATGAGCAACATCAAAGTGATCATGCCCACCTTGGCCACTCCCACCCAATCTGCCATGACCACCACAGCCCACCCAGTGGGCCACACCCAGCTGGCACCCGTTGATAAATAAGTGGGTTTTGGGTTGCAGTTTGGGCACTTGGTCTCTAAAAGGTTCGCCATCACTGCCCTATACCATTTCAGACAAATGGATATATAATCCAGAGAGAGAGGGAGGAGAGAGAGGGGGAGGAGAGAGAGAGAGAGAGAGAGAGAGAGAGAGAGAGAGAGAGAGAGAGAGAGAGAGAGAGAGAGAGATGATTTGCTGAGCTGTGGAGAAGGAATGAGGATAGAACCACAAAATGAACAGATGAAAGAAGAATGAAAGACACAAAAGGAAGATCAAGAAAGTCATACTTGGACAAAGTTGAGGAAATAATGGAATAACAGAGTTGGAAGGGACTTTGGAGGTCTTCTAGTTCAGGGCTTTTCAACCGGTGGTACGCTTACCACCAATGGGTACTTGGGCACCTGGCAGGTGGTACGCAACTGTCCTAGAGAAGTGGTAGTGGGGCGGAGAGGAACGAGCTGAAGCAGTGACAGCGTCGCACAAGCTCGAGGGAGAGGACAGCTGGAGCTGCAGGGCTGTCAGGGTTGGGCAGAAGCGCCAGGATCAGCATCGTGCTCCAGCTGATCGGCGCTCCCGGAAGCTGGAGGTGCACTCAAGAGAACAGGAGGAGGGGGTGGGGAGAGGAGAGAATATAAAAGGAGGTTTTGGAGGGAAAGGGCCAGTGAGGGGCTGCCCCCCCCCATCCCCTGGGTGCATGAAGAGGAGCCATTCCTGCTGACCGTCTCTGCTGAGCACTAAGGAAGAATAAAGGTAAGTGAAGCACTTCCTTTCCCTCAGGACACCAGTTCTCACATGCTCGCTGCCCAGGGGGCAAGGCAGAGATGGTGGGAGGGGGGCTCGCAGGCTCCAGGGCTGCCCGCGGATCTAAGGCTGAGCACATTCCAGCTTTGATGGCCCCCACCAGTAGATCAGTGCCATACCCGCTCACTGACCTAGCCTCGTGGCCACTAGGCTTCCCTTTCACCGGGACTGTCCCTGCCTGTGTGGGATAGCGACGGCCAGTGGCAGCGCTAGCAATCTCTCCCACTCCCGTCATTCCTTCCTGAGTGCGGAGGAAGGAAAGAGAAGCAGGGGAGGAAGGAAGGAAGGAAGGAAGGAAGGAAGGAAGGAAGGAAGGAAGGAAGGAAGGAAGGAAGGAAGGAAGGAAGGAAGGAAGGAAGAGGCAATTCGGCTGGAAATGCCCCAGTTCAAAGGAGAAAGCAATTTTGTGTTCTGTTTTGTCACAGACAGCACTTCGTTGGCCATCCAAGTTAACACTGGTATTCTTGAATTGTGAGCTCTTAGGAAAGTATCCCTTTCTTGTGTGTTTGCTAACAGCCATTTCCAGTGGGGAAAACAGAGTGGGGAAAAATATTTTCCTTTGCTATATTTTCAGTCTGAATTAGACCAAGGCAGGGTCCCTACAAGATTAGGGACAATCCTTTTAAGGATTATTTATTGATAGAAAAGCAACTAAGCTAACTCTGTTCCTAAATGCTAAAGCTGTTGCACATAAAAAAACGGAGGAGCTCTGATCAACTATCACAGCCGCCATTTTGATAGTTTTGCTGTACTGTCGTCTGTGGACGCCCCCACTAAATGCAGCCACGGGATAAACTGAGCCTGGTTTGTTCTCCGTCTTTTAAGTGGCCACAAACTACTAGCAAAAGTGGCATTTGATCACAAGGCCAGGAGGCATCGAGAAATGTTTCCCCTGTTGCATTTGAGCATCCAAGAAGGGACAGGAAAGGAGAAAGGGAAAGAGGAAAGACAAAGAAAAAGAAGGAAAGAGAGCAAGGAAGGAAAAAGAAAGGAGAATGAAGAGGGAAGAAAGAAAAGAAAAGGGAAGAAGGAAGGAAGGAAGGAAGGAAGGAAGGAAGGAAGGAAGGAAGGAAGGAAGGAAGGAAGGAAGGAAGGAAGGAAGGAAGGAAGGAAGGAAGATTATAATGAGAGGGAGGGAGGCTCTGAGGAAAGTCCTGCCTTAGCACTTGGCCACCAGCAGCCCTGCTGCCCTTTCGCCATCCCCTTGCCCTTTCCTCCTGGCCTAACCTGGTGGTCTCCCATCCTATTGCAAAGGATGCTTTGGTTTCAAAGCCAGGTCTCCTTGCATGGACAGGAAGTGGGCCTCACTCTAACCCACACACTTTGCCCTCCTGCACCCACCATGAGCAATCTGGCCAAGGAGAGTGAGCAAAGCAGCAGCAGCAGGAGGAGATAATTGCAGCCAGCACCCCCTCAGGAAGGTGGGGCTGGACTGGGTTGAGCTGCAGGGTCCTGGTGCCCTGGGAGCTCAAGGGCTGGGGCGCTTGCCCTCTGCTGCCCAGGGCTCTGGGCAGCCCCCGCCACCCTCTGGGAGTCCCCCTCGCAGCCCAAGAGGGATAGTGAGGCTCCTCTGATGGATCATGTCCTGGTGCCCACCCCAGTCCCACCCCCACGCCACTGGAGACCCCTGGATCCCCCCACAGTCCCCCCCACAAGGCCCCCCCAGCCATTGACTTCGCTTGTGAAAAGGTTGCAGAAGGGGATCACATGACCCTGGGACACTGTGACCATCAGAAATATGAATCGGTTGCCAAGCATCTGAATGTAAATCACGTGACCCTGCGGATGCTGCAACGGTCATAAGTGTGACAAATGGTCATAAGTCCCTTTTTTCAGTGCCGTTGTAGCTTTGAACAGTCACTAAGCGAACTGTTGTAAGTCGAGGACTGCTTGTACTTTATCACTTTGTTCCTTTTGGGGGGGGGATTTCTGAGACACCTTGCTAGGTGACTGGTGGTACTTGAATATTGCCTTATCCTAAAAGTGGTACAATCAGTGAAAAGGTTGAAAAGCCCTGTTCTAGTCCAATCCCCTGCTCAAATGGATATCTAACCCAGAGAGAGGGAGGGAGAGAAAGAGAGAGAGAAAGAGGGAGGAAGAGAAAGAGAGAGAGAGAGAGAGAGAGAGAGAGAGAGAGAGAGAGAGAGAGAGAGAGAGAGAGAGAGAGAGAGAGAGAGAGAGAGAGAGAGAGAGAGAGAGAGAGAGAGAGAGAGAGAGAGAGAGAGAGAGTTGCAAAACTGAGAACAAAATGTGAGGTATGAATCAACATATGGGCATGATAGAAGCGAGGCAGTTTTCAAGAAGAGAAAGATATGAGAAGTATACTTAATAATGTTGCCATTATGGTTCCCTTTTCTTTTTTTCCTTTCCTCCTTTCCCTACTGTGTCTTACTCTCCTTCTGAACTTGACATTGTGTTGCTTACCCTGAAAGAGAATAACCAATGGGGCAATACGGATGCACGTATGGATAGGTGTATGTTGCTAGCTTTGGGGTCCCAGTTGATCACAGCACCATCCATCATCCCTTTGGAAGCACTGGCGTATTACTCACGCTAACAAAAATGTTTTGTATTCACAGATTATTCCAAGGTTCACTTAACACAACTTTTGGAAAAGGCAGAAGTGATTGCAGGGCGTATGCTTAAATTTTCGGTCTTTTACCGGAATCAACACAAAGAATACTTTGACTACATCAGGTAAGTGGAGGCAAAAAGAGCCAGATTTTCAGAGGTGCCTGATTGCGTGTGGAGCAGATAAGAGCATGGCTTTTTCCACTGATAATCGACACATCAGGTCTAGGAGCAACCTGTTTCTTAATTAGCAACAGTTGCCTGTAAGTGTTATCATTGACAAGTGAATAGCAGATTGTACTCTTTAGTAGATTTAGTTCCAATATTCTTGAAATCTAATAAAGCAAAGCAGTTTTTACCAGGTGCAGTGTTAAAAACAGGAAAGCAAAGTATTTATAATATAGGAAAGAATCAACAACAATGCATAGCCTCGGAGTAGCTTCACTGCTGGCCTAGGGTTAGCTCATCTGGCACTGGGGGGATCGCTGTGCTGCCACCTCTGCCCCTCCTTGTGGTCTAAAATGGTTCATCTCAAGTTTAAGGATGTTCATCTCAGGTTTTACAATTAGTGTCCTCTGAGATGTAAAGTTCACAATCCTGTTTCTGAGAAATTAAAAAGACACCAGAGATGAACCTCACCTAAAGTTTTCTATGTATGGAAAGTGTAGAAGACATCCTATGACATTACATGTTCCCCTTTGCCCTAATGAAACACTTAGCTTTGTAGACAAACATTTTACTGTTGATAACGGCACAATCTGTAGCCCTCGGTCTAAATCCAATGATTCTTAGGAAGGGGACAGACGTAGACTGACTACAATATAGATTGTTGCAACTTTTTAATTATACTTTCTATTCTAAAAAAAAGAGGGGTCTTCCCTGGCTGCTTCTGGTCTCCCTTCAATATCTCACTGCCTAAAATTAGAGAGCCTCTCCAATAATATACACAGCTTCCCGATGTCCTATATAGCAGATTTGGTCTCTGCCAGCATCTATATTGGCCGGTTTCTCTTGTTGTTGTTAGCTGCGAAGTCGTGTCTGACCCATCGCGACCCCATGGACAATGTTCCTCCAGGCCTTCCTGTCCTCTATCATCTTCTGGAGTCCATTGAAGCTCACGCCTACTGCTTCAGTGACTCCATCCAGCCACCTCATTCTCTGTCGTCCTCGTCTTCTTCTATTGCCCTCCATCTTTCCCAGCATTAGGCTCTTCTCCAGTGAGTCCTTCCTTCTCATGAGGTGGCCAAAGTACTTGAGTCTCAACTTCAGGATCTGGCCTTCTAAAGAGCAGTCAGGGTTGATCTCCTCCAGGACTGACCGGTTTGATCGCCTTGCAGTCCAGGGGACTCACAGAAGTCTTCTCCAGCCCCATAGTTCAAAGGCATAAATTCTTTGGCGCTCAGCCTTTCTTATGGTCCAACTTTCAAAGCCATACATTGCAACTGGGAAAACCATGGCCTTGACTATACGCATTTTTGTTGGCAGGGTGATGTCTCTGCTTTTTAGTATGCTATCTAGATTTGCCATAGCTTTCCTCCCCAGGAGCAAGCGTCTTTTAATTTCTTGGCTGCAGTCCCCATCTGTGGTGATCTCTGCATAAATGCAAACACGATAAGGGTGTTGGGTTGACCCAAGGGGGTCTGCATGGTCCTCTGAAACTCGTGCTCTAATGCCACTGTAGAACTAACATGTTCCCCATCCTTTATTTCTAGAGAGCAGCATGGAAGCATCCTGCAGCCCTCAGTTAAGGATAACAGCGGCAGCCATGGCTCTCCCATCAGCGGGAAGCTGGAGGGGATCTTTTTTAGCTGCCACACAGAATTCAACACCGGAAAGCCCCCCCAGGATTCGCCTTATGGAAGATACAGGTTTGAGATTGCAGCTGAGAAACTTTTCAACCCGAACACTAATTTGTACTTCGGGGACTTCTACTGCATGTACACGGCCTACCACTATGTCATTCTTGTCCTGGCCCCCGTCGGCTCGCTGGGGGACGAATTCTGCAAGCAGCGCCTGCCTCAGCTGAACTTGCAGGATAACAAATTCCTGACCTGCACTGAAGAAGATGGGGCCATGGTTTACCACCATGCACAGGATGTCATCTTGGAAGTGATTTACACTGACCCAGTCAATCTCTCCCTCGGCACAGTGGCAGAAATCACCGGGCACCAACTCATGAGTTCGTCCACTGCCGATGCCAAGAAAGATCCGAGCTGCAAGACATGTAACATCAGTGTGGGACGCTAATTTCCATCGCCACCTTCCTTAGGACCCTCCTCCGTTGCCTACACCCTCTCTCCACCCTACACATCAGACGCATGACGAATGCCCTCCTTCCCAGAAGCAAGTCCCACGACCCAGTTCTTCAACAGTTCCTCTCTGAGCAGAGCTACATGTTCCAGCCAAGCTGGGGCAGCTCCCAAAATGGCATCCAGTGAAGTATCTCTCCCCTTCTGCCTACAGCATTGAAGCCGAGCATGCTGGCCACTGTACCCTCAGCTTATGTGCTTTCCCTGTTCCGGTTGGATGCTGCTGGTGGGGACATAGGATGGATGACATCACCGTGCCAGTCAGTGGGTCCCTGTGTCATGGAGAGAAAGGAAAGGAGCTGCATATGGAGACAGTATTATCTGCAGCTGCCCTGTGTAGCTGTAGTTCCGCCCTTGGTATTTCCCGTGTTCCTTCCCTCCTGGTCCACCACTGCTTTCAACTGTTCAAAATCTTGGGGGTATTTTGGTTTTCTTTTCTTTTATTTTCCTAGCAACCATTTATACATCTAGGTGCTGCAATTGGTGTTAATTTGTCCCTCCTCTCTCCATACTGCCAAATGTAACAAATCTATATAAACAAGCTTGAGTAAAATAAAAATTTCCTGGCTTCTAAATGGTGTTTAAATATGCATTCCTTTTAACCTACTGAACAACTTAACTGGAATATTTCGAAACAGCATGAACAGGTGTAACGGCAGCATGATTTAACGCTCACAAGCCTAGGGGAAAAAAAATATGTCAGCACTTCCAATGTGTCGTTTGACCGTGTTATTTATGTTATTTATATGAGCTAACAAAACCAACGGAAGACCTGTGTTTCATCATAATAGAAAAATATTTTATTTGTACTGTTGTATAAAATATTATACAATCATATCGAATATATAGATGGCATTTTAATAGCAACTGTACACATGTCATGACAGCATTTTTCCCTTATCAAAGATGTAGTTTGTAAACTTCAAATACTTGTGTATCTGTTCCTGTTGCTCTGACATGAGTTTTAATTAAAACAGATTTATGACCGTCCTGGTTCAGTTATAAATGATGCAGCCAACGACACTGAAACATCAATTGCCATAGAAACAAACAAACATACAAACAAACAAACAAAAATCCACTTAGTTTAATCATGGGACACGGTCCTTTCCCAAATCATTAAAAGAGTCTTCAACCCCCCCTTTTTTTCCTAAAAAAAAAAATCATGCTTCAACTTTTACATATAGTGACCTACAGACAAGGTTGGTGGATAATGGAATTCATCAAATGCCTTTCTTTATGACACTATAGCAGAAAGAGCAGTAGGCCCTCTCCACCATGAAGCTCTGGGACTTGGAGGGGTATCTCCTTGGGCTTCCTCAACATTTTTGATGTTGTGGAATCATCGCCCTCGAAACTTAAACATCTCACCTGGTCCTGTCTTCGCCCACATCTCTCTTTGCCTGTGGGAATCCTCCATCATCTGTGTACCAGAATGAGAAGACCAAGGGCTTTTTGTGTCATAGTTATCAAAAGATGAACCCCAAAGGCTAAAAACAGCATGGAGACTTCTTTGAATCTGGTTGCCATTAAACCTGTGTTTCTTGAGAAATCTCCTGATTGTCCACCTCAGACTCAATCATGCTCCATATAAAAGTGATCTATTTTAACCTGCAAGAATAACTTTTTCGCTTAGAAAGTCTACTCCTTTTTAACCTCAAGATGGCAGAAGCCAGCCATGTATATATATATTTAGCCTACAGCGAACCAAATTAGAGAACAAGAAACTCAACCATCCGCCATTCGTAACCATGACACTTAGATTAAATATCTGCATACATCATAATGCAATAAACTATTATCACTAGAACAGAGTACCTTGGCGATCATCACGTGTGAAATATTAAGATCCTACAAAGTGCATGCTTTCAAACAAGCTTTGGTAATCATAAAAAGCAACATTTTATAGTATTGTGCTACAGAAAAGTGCTACACAAATAAAGATTAGCAAGGACAACCATGTGGTTTGATTCATTTTGGTTACTATCAACCAAATCCTGTGGGTTTCTCTTAAAAAGGATGGGATAGTTTACAATTCCTTACCCTGAAATGTATTGGCTACTTTTTCCTGTTTAAGGGGTTCCCCCCCCCCCCCACAAATGCCTAATCTTCCTTCTTAAAACTGTGCCTTTTCAAAATAAATTGATTTTCACTACTTAATTTCTGCGGTAAACTTACGCTAAGCACACCTTTTTAGCCCCGATTCATTTGTATCCTTCTGAATTCACCCCTTGTGTTTGGAGGACACGGAAAGTTCAAAACAAGAATGCTACAGGAATTAAAATGAGAGAAGTGTTTGGTCTTATCTCCGTTAATCTGATTAAATCTTCTTGAACTGAGAGTGATCAGAAAGGAACAAGATGCTACAGTTTTCATTTTTGTCACACTGGAGCACAGGAATCAAACTCGATCGCGTCACGTGACGTATCATGACGTATCGTGAGGTTTTTTGCCTTTGCGGAGCCTGCATGTGACGCATCTGGCCCATGGGCCACCAGTTCGACACCCCTCACGAAACCTCACCATTCTTCAACCGAGTGTGAACTCCTTTTATCACACCTTTCCTACTGTCTCAGTATCTGTCGTACGTTCCTTATCGTAGCTGGAAAGTCATTCTTTTGGTGAATAAATATTCCTTTTTTCACAGATACGAGGTAGGGAAACCACTGTGTGGACTGCATAAATACATTACTCTCGAAATGGATGGCACAAAACTCTGACCTGTGAAGCACTTATTTTTTTTAATTCCTAAAATAAACAACGCTAGGGGAAAAAAAATAGCGTATATAAACCAGAGGTCCACCCAATCACCTCTCATTTTAACACTTGCTTTGGAAATAGTAAACAGTTGAACAATTATCTGTATTGTTTCGCTCTTGTGTTCCCTTGGGGAAGCTACTTTGTCCAGTGACACTGGATGTGACCAGTGGCCACTTTATCCTATTGGTTGTGGCTGCCCATGTGTTTCTATTGAGCTCATGAGCAAAGCAGCATCACAACATTAATCAGAAAACAAACAAATGGACACACCCAACAAGGCGAAAGAGAAGCATGGAGAAATAAGATCCAACATCACAATTAAGGATAATGAAAATGAGAACCACCATGTTAAAGTTCTCTTTCCACTGAGTGTGGAAAGCCAGCAACAGACATAAACACACTGCAGGATTTAGGCTCCGTAGCCACTCGAAAGATTTGACTGACTAGAAGCATTCAGCTCGGGAGGGTGAATATCTCCTGCTGTTGCTTTCAGCCACATTACAATCTAAGTATCAAGAAACTGACAATACCTGTGTCACAGATTGTCCAAGAAGGAGGGCGCTTCCAACAGGAAGCCTGTCAAAGTTGTTGCACCTTAAAACTGTTACGTTGCAAAACAGTCTCTACGTCAAAGCATATTTACCCGCTAAACTTATTCCAACCATCACTGGTGAGAGATTTGTTCTGGAAGATGCAAAGTAATATCTAACTAAAAGAACATTAAAATAATGGGATACTTGAACTTGTGTTCCATTCTTACAGGTATTCTTGTCTTCAGCACTTCTCCATATATGAGTTTCTCTGTAAAGAATTCTCGCCCAAAGATGGGGGCAGGTACCTATATGGAACAGGGAGTGGACTCGTTTAGCGAAGACTGTGTATATGACTTTATCATGTAGACCTTTAGTCCACATTGTTTTCTAGTTGACTATAATTAGTTATGGGTACCAAGAAAAATGTTAAGGCACAGGTCTAAATTTCCAAAGAGGCTCTACACAAACATCTTCTCAATATCTTGGTCTACAATTGTCATAGTCTTTAGGGATGATGGAGTTGAATTCGACCCATCATCAAGACACAAGAATGGGGAAGATTGTGATCCACACCTATCACAAGCAAACTTTGCCTGAAACTTCATATTCATACCTAAAATAGCCTCACTAACATGCTTAATACAGTGCTTAATTCCCTCCTTCCATATCTGGGTGACCTTTTCCTTAAGTCAGTGGTTCTCAACCTTTTTAATGCCGCGACCCCCAACCGGTCGTAAGTCGAGGACTAAACCGGTCGTAGGTCGAGGACTAAACCGGTCGTAAGTCGAGGACTAAACCGGTCGTAAGTCGAGGACTACCCAACCGGTCGTAAGTCGAGGACTTTCCCTGCCCGGGAGCGCCGCACATGCGTGGTTCCGCCCCCTGCGCCGGCCGAGGCGTAGCTGGCAAGCGGCAGAGACGGAGCAGGCCGACCACCAGCGGGCCCAGCTCAAGGGAGGTAAGGCACCCGCCGGAAAAGGGGAAAAAAATGGCGGACAGCCTTGCTTGGCGACCCCCGTGAAATGGTCGATCGACCCCAAATGGGGTCGTGGCCCATAGGTTGAGAACCGCTGCCTTAAGTATCATCAAAGGATAGCCCTGAGCCATTAAAAAGCAGCCAACGATTCCCAATTACAAAGGGAATGACATGCATGCCAACATGCACAATGCCAAAACAGAATACATTTCTACAGCTGGGGAGGGGATGAACCTTCCAAACTTGCAGGAATTGTTTCAAAAGTCCCACCAACTCTTCTGCTTCTATGGAGCCCTGGCACTTGGAACAGGGTGTGATCATAGAGATGACCTTGGAGAGGCTGGACAGAAGGGATGGGTGGAAAAACAGTGTGTTATGCTGGGAAACAGGCTGATTCTTCCCTATTTAACTAGACTACAGGGAAGAGGGTGGGAAAGGAAAACTCAGTCAAAATTATGTCTCTCTCTCTCTCTCTCAACAAAGGATGGATCCAGTCAGACTCGGTCTGCCTCCTGACCTGTTCTGCCTTAAAGAACTAACACGTGGGCATGTGGGCCTTTGGCCAGCAACTGGCAGGTATGAAGCTGAAGAGGAAACATCCGGTCATTTCCTTACTTCACTTCCATCTCTGGCCTCCCTGAGCTTCTACATGGGATTCCCTTCCCCACT